TGACATCGTCACGCAATATTGTGAAGCATGGTGTTAAAACTTCATTAATAGGCTATAATTACTTAAGTCATACATCAAACTCGTGGGCGACGATAGGCAATTTGTAAGTATTTGACGGTTGTAGAGATCCAACGAGACGGAAAATCGCATCTGGTAGAGTCGGCTCCAGATAGCGAGTGTAATTAATTACCGCCAACAATTCCTGTCAGTAACAACGTTCAATAGCAAATTTGCTGAATTAATTGTTCTTTACACAATTTTTAGCTACATTTAATATCGTGATATAAATATAAAAAGCCTTTGGCTTTTTGGCAAACATTTATTTAGTTTCCCTCTCGATTTTAATATTGTTCTTATTAATAATAATTATTTATGAATTAATGAGTATTTAAATATTAATTCTTTAGTAATAGGGTGGCCTTATAAATAAAAGGGCTTAAATTTGAACAAAAATATATGTACATGTGTACATAATAATATAAAATTCAAATTGAAAGTAGTGATTCTTCACAAGTGTATTGAAAATGGGAAGTGCTTGAGCATGGATCACCTCAATAGGTAACGTAATATATAAGCTCACCTTGAACCATGAATGGTAAAAAAGCATATACCTACATACATATACAAGAATGGTAAAAAAAAGACTATAAAGAAAAAAATTAAGTTTTGTGTGGAGGGGTTTTTAGTTAAAATTTTTCCGAGTATCTCAGAAATTCCGACGGATTCATGTAAAAATTCGAAACAATTCTTTAGATGTGGGGTTTATGATGAATTAAACAGTATACTCGCAAAGAAGGACAGGAACTCATATATATCCATAAGTACAGAACACATACGTTAATTCCGACGAAGTCAAATGGGCAGCCACATGAGCTTAGAACGGAAATGTGACACGTGGTCATGATGATCCTATTTGCGTTAGTTGAATATGAATCAAACACAGAAATTTTGGATAAAGTTCAAATTTACTAAGGGGCACAGTGAGATCCAACTAGCTGAAGAAGTATATTTTGAGTAAGCACAATTTTGTTGGCAAAAAAAAATTTAATTGTTGTCAAAAGAAAGAGAACGAGGATCGTCACGACGATTTTGGTCGAACCGAAGTAACTTGCGTTAACATTAACTTGCTAACACTTTAAAATAATACGCTTTGTTTGCATTATTCTACAGGTCTGTAGATAATGTTGTCATACTGTTCGTGATTAAAAAAAGATATAGAGCCACGTGATGACTTCATGGCGCATTTGTCAAGGTATTCGCTTCGGCGTCGGTGCCGTGGGTTCGATTTCCACATGGAACAACTATTTGTGCAACCCACATACACAGTTGTTTCGGACCTGGTTGTTTTTCCACGTGTTTATGTTTGTAAAACGTCCTTACAAAACAGAATAATGTGTCCCTAAAATAAGGGCAATGTTTTACAAAAACGAGTACATCTTCAGATGGGATCTTCATCATCTGCTTAAAAGTGATAGGATACAACTAGATTAGTGGATATTGAGTTTATCAAAAGAGAAAGTACCTTTGACACTTTGATGCCATGCTTACGGTGATCTTAAGTTCTGATTGATTGGTTAATTAGTTATTCTGGAGGTATTAGTCAATAATGCCAATAATTAATAATATTGCAGACATATTAACACATCTGATTATTCTATCTAAACACAGACAACTGGACTGCTTTTAATTTGGTATAAGATGAGAAATACACTGAATACCAGTTTCGGTGTACGTACATAATGATATATCACGTCACAAATTAGTAAAAGTGCTCTAAGGCTATTATGCAAAACACTCAGATTTCGAGTATTTAAAATATTATTGGGTGAAAATAAATTTACGATCCTTTACATTGAAGTAGATTTCATAGTCATATAAATAAATAAATGAATAAATAAATATCACCTCTGCTGTTATCTGCATGTAAAGATATTGATGCAGATAATTCGAATTTTGTAAACTTTCGCTTGTAAGTTGTATTATACACAAAACTAGTACGTTTATCACCTACAACATCGTCACTGCTAACCATGAGATCAAGTTAAGCAATGGCAAGTTTTGAATAAAGAAAATAAAACAAAAGATAACGTATTAAAAATATATATTAAACTTGGTACCAATATAATTTTGTAATCTTAGAAGTACTTATATTATGCATTTACAATTAAGATATTGAGATAGCTGTTTTATTTGACTACAAAACAGGCATTTCCACTTACTCTCCATAAAGAAACCAAAGATTTTCGTTGTAATTATATCACATAAATAATACCATATTAGAGATAAAACTGCACAAACACTTATCTTAAAGGCATTCCCGGCAAGTAACTCACACGTCTAATATTTCAGCAAGTTTACCGACTTCATATCGTAAGGTTCACCCCAAACAAACGATAAAGGGTGAGCTCATTTTCCGCGATACAAACAAGAGTTCATCGTAATCCGATGCTCTGTGAAATGGACCCATTGGTGTCCAGTTACATACGATCGTCGAGCAATATCGGTGTAAGGGCTAATAACAATTAATTGAAGTCCCTAAGTTCAAAAACGAGTGGCCAAAACCTGTCCGCTTGAGCGCACGGACCATATGTCTACGGTCATATTCAGAATTTTCCGGTAACGAAATCAATAGGAGGTTCTTTATTTGCGACGTCCACGGCCCTCTCAACTTTTAAACTTAATGGGTTTTTATTCGCCTCGTTTATCATTAAGAATGAGATCACTGCTTTCATACTAATGCAATAGTCGTATTCAATGTCTATCACTATCACTATTTTAATCACAGTCTTTTTTTTTATGCGAAAAGTTGCCAAACGAGCAGACGGGTCACCTGATGTTCAGTGAATACCGCTGCCCATGGACATCTGCTACACACGAGCGTTACAGATGTGTTGAAAACCTTTTGAAAATTGGGCTCCACTCACCGGACGAAACGCGAAAGTATTTGTCTTCCACTTTACGCTGGTCTTCTGTGAGGTCGTGGTACTTACCCGGACGGGCCTGCCCGTTCGTGCAACAGCCGAGGCTGCTGCGTGGCCCTACCACCGTTAAGTGATTCGAAGTATTCTCTTTATTTGCGGCTATCCTCAGATATTAAAATTAATTACACGTTGAATCCTAACACTTATTGATATACTATGAAAGATTTATTTTTACAATTTTATACCCTCTGTACAATAGGAGGTCTTTGCCCAGCAGTGGGACATGTATAGGCTGTTACTTTATATTCAGATATATTAAATATTCATTTTATTTTCTTTGACATATTTAAAAAAATCTTAAGTAGGTACATCAGTACAACACTTTCAAGCCAAGTTAATGATTAAATTCGTATTATATGGAGATATTTGTAAATGTGATATAACTCTAATAGCTTTCTCAATACCAAGAGCGAGACGTAATAACCTTTCTTTCCGTATTCTTCGCAATTTTTTTACTGCCCTTTGATACGAACGTAGAACCCTAACAAAAGACTATATGGGAGTTTAATCGCGTGTTGTCGGGGAGCAAGGGTTGCGCGACATATGCCGCGCGTGCCAGCGCTCGTGTCGACTCACGTTACTGCCTTTTTGTCAATGTTTTAAGTCTTCGCAATATAACTTGTACGTTTCGAAACGAGCCTTTAATAATGCTGTGTTGGCTTGGCCTTCACATTCGATTTGGTACCTTTTGATCATGATGTTGACTACCCTCTATGTTGCAATGAAAGAGAAATGTTAAAACGAAGCCTCTCCCGATCGATACCTTTGCACTATATATTGAGTACTGGGCTGGGTTATTTAACTATAGTACCTACTATTATTAAAGTCTGAGCCCAACGAAAATTAATTAATTTATATATATATTCTTCCTGCATTGAGCAAGGACATGCCTATTTTACAAGTAAAAACAAATTTACTTTTAACATTAACGAACTAGTTATCGACATTTCGCAATTCTGGATACTTTTTTAATAGAAAAAAGTATTTCGAAATGATTACATAATGCATTTGCAGATAATTTTATCACTGTTTAGACGTTACAAATAACTTTTTTAAAAGTGTATCTACAATACGTTATAGTATAGTTCATACGTAAATTCAAAAGAGCTGTCTTTTTCCAACATGGGTGTGTATAATAATTGTGTCAGATATCAATCGGGCGATGTTACAACCGAGCAGGCATCTCGCCAATTGTGATCAGCAGAAAGCATCGTACGATGTGGTGCCACAAGTGATTCACGTGTACAAGAGCTGACTGTGACATAACCCGACACCGACGTGAATTACTAAATTTGTTCCGACGATTACAAAACGTTTCTGATGAATGTTTTGATTTGTCGAGAAAAGCTAAACAAATGTAATGCATGTGGGCGCAGCTGTTCCACGTGAGATTTGTATGTAAAAAAACGTACTCGTTCTAATAGCAACGGTTTTACTGAGAGTGTAACATACATAATACTCCTCGTCATCGTTATTGCTTTGTAATGTCTCTTAATATGTTATTCGTAAAAAAACAAATTTTTTGATTAACTTAGAGCACACCAATGATCAGCTGGTATATTTATTATTTCATTATCAAATTAATAATGGAAAGTGAGATATTTCCCTATCGTTTTCTGCTGGCGGCGTTAGACCTGAAAAAGCTAAATTTAAAATTGAATGGTTATCGTTTAAATAAACTGTTTTACAGATTAGTTTAACGCATTGCAATAAAACCTTGAAATATTTTATATAATATATACATATACATCCTTGAATAATGCGTAGGATTAGTTATCACTATTGCACAAAATTACCCAAATACAAAGTACAAGAATAATGAAATCAGTCTTATAAATTGATAATTATTCTTTACTAAAATATCAAATGTATTAACGACGAAGTATTTATTTAGGATGTAAGTAACAATAACACCCATGAAATTATTTTAGAATAAGTTTTCTAGAAAAAAAAAAATTTTTCATGTATCTGACATTGCTTGCATATCATATTTTTTTATGTGAAAAATTTTTAGTTATTATGCATGCGGGATTTTGGAATATAAAGTTCGTTAATGAGGCGCCGACGGAGCCAGAATCGAACCGGTGGCCGACAGGTGGTGGACACGCGCCGCTGCCCTCCGCGCCCTCGCCTCCGTGCGCTACCGAACCCCACAATTGGGCTCTATGGTTAATTTTGTACGACGCCACGTATAAGCTGGTTATAACGTACAAACGCATGCAGTGCCCGCAATGAGCCAAGAAATTTGATACGCGGCAGCTGACAGTTATGACTTCTCAGTGCTGTCCGACACATAATTTTATAAACAGTCAAAAGTATTGAATTTTGTAATGAATTTAAACGTTAGTACCTGGAGGACTGTTTTTTTTGTTGGTAAATCGTGTATTTTGGAAATTACATTTAGATACTAATTACTGAGTAATGAAATATGTATAATATTTTTCGATCTTACCGACGTAATAATAAGAAAATATGAACTGGTGTTTTTCACAAAAGAAAGAACTTTTAAAAAAAGGGAAAAAATAACAAAATCATCTGGCTCGACAAAAAATGAAGAAAGTAATGATCTGGAATCGAAAAATAAGTGTGTAAATGATCGTGACACGAACCACGGCCTTCTGTTTCGGGGTTGCCCGATTACCGACCTATTATAACATTAATTTTTTTAGTGAAATTTACCGTAGTATTCGAATGATATTTTCCGTTTCCGAGATTCCGATTATATATATATATATATATATATATATATATACAAGAATTGCTCGTTTAAAGGTATAAGATAAGATATACGATCGACTGTTTATTCGGGAAAGCTACCACAGGGCTTTGTAGAAGAGGTAGAAAGTACAAAACATCACTTGACACAGGATATTGACAAAGTAATATAGTTAATAATGAAATTAAATTTTACTGAAAGAATTAAATAAAAATGAGTTACTAAGGTTACTTACTTTATAAGTTTGAAGTAAATATTGATTTTTTTGGATTTGATAAGCCTTTTCACAAAAAAAGGAAAATTATTCACAGCAACTATGTTTTAAATCGTAACATAATATGTATAAAAATCAAAGCAAATCTAACGCCCCATTTAAAATTCTGATAACAATGTCCTTCGTATACCCTTTGCTTACGGACAACATCCGGCGACTTAGAATTATTGAGATTAGTTACCATTTCGTATGCAGGATAACTGCAACCAATTTATATCGCAAAATGTAACGTTGCCTACGAAATAGAATATTTATTTTGTCTGTATTTATCGTTAAATCCCAACAAAAAACCTTAATCGTAAATAAATTTATATAATACCTTTTGAATATTTTTATTTCACACGACTCAGCTGTTAAAATTTAAACTACATTATAAGAATACTGACTGTATTTTAATATTGTATTCTGTATGGATGATGTCACACAATCTAACTTTTTATATTAACACAAGATTGAAAACAATATCAACATCCAAGATAAAGCTGAAAGGCTAAGAAAACGATACGTATATTTAAATAATAATTTTATTTTAGTAATGAAATAGTAAATATTATATAAGCTTATAAAATCGGTTGGACATACGACTGTATCGACAACCATTTTATACATATTTCTCTACTAATTCTTCAATTAATATAAATTATAAAACCATATCGGATTTACCTAAATTATTGTGGTTTCAATGCTTATTATTCGAGGCAGGTGCTCTAGTTGTATGTTGAATGTTTTTCTTTATACTTATCGAGTTACAGATTATAAAGATGTAGTTCTAACATACTGGCCATGTTTACGTATTACAGAAGATTAATGCCCTTTACCTATGTGTATCATATTATGCATACATAATTACATACATACACATGGAATTATATGTATGATTTCAATATCTGATTAATTGTTATTGGTTTAGTGTTCGTTAAATTAATTTCTCATAGTTTATCTCATAAACAGAAATAAGCTTGGCCTTTATCTCTGTCAGTATAATTCCAAAAAGATTGTTATTATAACGTGTGTCTTCAGATCCTAAGATTGGTAGCAATTTATTAATTATTTTCAATTGTATATAGATATGGGTCTCGTCCAATGCTCTACTTAATGTCTTTTATAAGGGAAACTGCATCAACTACTTGAACCAAGCAATAGATTTCATTGTACCTTTGCTTTTCCCAATTAAAGAAAAAAGATGAATAAATATAGACAAATATCAATTTTTCTTAGATACGTATATAATCTTCTTAAGAACCGTCCAGGTTGCAATGGGAACGTACATTGAATTTTAGCGAGGCGGCTCAGTTTAGTTTCGGCGACGGGTGGCGTACTATTGTAGAGTCTTTGACACTTTGAACTTGGCAATGGACCGGCCGCGCGCCGCGGCGAGTAATCCCGTGCAAACAACACGGGTGATAAGGCCCCTAGCGCACGTGTGCCCTCCCATTGTGCGGCGCGAGCTGGCGACGCTTCCTTCATTGATACCGGCAACATCCGATCGGATAATTCCGATTTGCTCGATATATTTTACCATTGCTTGCTACATTGTAATGCTGTTACTTTATGACACTGGCACACTATTTGGATTTATTTTATTTATTTAATGTACGGTAATAAGTCAGAGTTATTCCACACATATATACTGGATGAGTAGGAAATATACGGAATGAACAAAGAAATGTCAGCTAGCGAATATTAAATAAATTTTAAAAAGCTAATGTATAAATCTACACCACGAGGTATTTAAATGAATTCAGTAGGATTACAATTTCGAACTACATGCATTATCCTCATACTTGTTCAAATGATTAATTCGTATTATAAATATTATCCCATACGAACATAATATAACTGAAACTTTTCGATAGCTGTCTTTAAGCTTATTTAAATCATATCAATCAAACATATTCATTAGGTAGTTAATAAAAATCGGTAATGCATCCCACGGGACGTAAATTTACGTAAATTTTAATTACGTGTATGTAACACTCGTATATTTATTAATTAACCCTTAACAGGTGGCCTCACATGTGAGTGAAATCCCTAAGCATAACCAAAAAATTAAGGTTTCTTTTTTTATCGTCACATGCAAAAAAATTGAGTGATGCTATACTCGTAATTTCATATAAATATATATTTCTTTGCTAAGACACCTTAGAGCGATACAGAAATATAAACGTCAAACGTCAAACGTCGACAAATCCATTTATTTTTATAATATGGAACAAATAATAACATAAATTAAAACTTATGTCCTATACATTTTATGATAATATATTTCATTCGTAAGCTGGTACATATATTTTATCCATTGGCTCTGTTAGTATTTCTTCGACTCTCTCCAAGCATCAGAAGTTTTAAAAGATTTCATAAAAAGCCAAGTGCGAATCCATCACCCTTTGAGAATTGTTAGTTTTTCCAGGTGGTCCATGTTTTTAAGTTTTACAAGCTTTTATACACTATCAAATCAAACAATTTAATCTCCAAAAATTTACCACTCTTCGTATCAATTCGAAGACTTAGATCTATGAAACAATTTTAATGGGCTTCTTTAATTAAAATATACTCTACTACAATTTTTCTACTCTACATTACGTAGAGACACATGAATTATCTACAAGGGCTCTAGTTTTTATCCAAAAGAGATGGTTAATAGGGTGAGGTGATAGCGTTGGCGAATAGGGCGGCGACAACCTGTCGGTACCAACCAACCCCGTCACTTGCACCCTCTCCCCAAGACTAGCTCAAATTTTTCATACTTAATTAATAGCTGCGTCATCGATCTTCGGTCTAGCAGTTGGTATAGTATTATGTTCATGTCGATAAAGAATTTATTTTACAGCATACATCCCATATGAGCGTTAACTGCTTAAGCTGTCTAGAGTAATGAAACAGTAAATTAATTATTAACGTCATTAGACAGATTTATTATATATTTTAGGACAAATAAAAATTTAAACGTAAAAGCGATAAAATAAGCTGCAATATAATAGTTTAATTTCTGTAGGCTAATTCAGGGTTACAAATACCAACACAAATTTTAAGTTCTATATTTTTTTCTCAAACGCTCGTTCATAACGCTTGTCACTTTCTTGTCAGATAGAAGAAGACTATCTTCATTAGATATAAAAACTTTTCTAAACAGATGTGTTTTCGACTCTTGATCCTGAGGAGCTTTGTCAGTATCTTTAAACGATAATCAGAGACTAGTAAATTAACAAACTCAATAAAACTTATTATTCACATAGTGTTCACTCTAAAGTTATATTTTTATTTTAAAATGATAAGTAAGGGAAGCACAAAGGTGCCATTGTATGTTATCCAATTTTTTTATTATTTACATTTGTTAAATAACAGCACCTCAAAGGCTCATACATAAAAATATTTTAAGTGTTCGATTATCTAACATAACCTACACTAATCTATTCATTACCAAAATTATATAAATATGATATTATAAAGCTTACACCCGCTTCAAAAACGCATTAATTTCACATACATTAAAATAATAATATAACGGAGCTGATTAAAGTGCCATCTTCTGATATGAATGAAACATGAAAGGAATGTATCCGGAGTGCAGTTCAGGGTTAGTTTTTGTTATAAATAATAAATGAAAAACACAAATATAACACGAACAAAAGAAGCTGTTAAATAACATGACATATGTATTAAAAATGTATAAGTTTATACCGAGCAAAACTTAGCTGTATTTGTAAATAAAAACATACGTAATTACTTATGGACAAATAGAAACAATAAGACAGTAGCTAATTAACCAAGCGCCGAGGCGTATAGCAAACAAGCTGTTTGCGCAGGGCGGCGGTATTGTAGTAAAGACGACCTAATTGCGGCTAGGGGCGTCCATAATTTAACACTGGCATTCTGTGCGTCTCACGTACCACAGGAATACGTGCGTACGAGGGGTTGGTGATCGATACCAGTTTCGGTGACACGTGGGCACCGCATACAGTTTGTAGCTGTGCGACCGTTGCCAACACTAATTGAGAGAAATCGTATGCAATTTGTCATATTCAACCAAACCAGCCTTGCAGACAGAATATTTTAAACTATTAATGTCAACACGCGTAGCTTAAATATCCAAAAATATAATATTTTTAAGCTTTGTCTACTTGTAATAACATCAAAAATTTATGTGTTTAGAATTAAGTTACAGTTTTATCAACAATTTTTAGTAGGTATAAAGTCGCTTTCGTAAAGGAATACTCAATACTGCTCCTGCTGCACTCCAACTTCCCTGAATTTAATCACGTCGGGATCGTATTGAGTTTATATTTATGAATAAGTTATAATTTACAGAACTTATTCAAAACAAATAAAATAGCGTTAAATTAATTATGATGCGGAAAATGTAAAAAAATAATTTGGTAATGTGTACCACCGAATATTTCGAAACTTTCTTGAAAGTCTGAAACGTGTCTCGTTTCAGCGAATAATGCTTTCAGCGGGCGTGGAACGAGGTCAAACTAGACTCAGTAGGAGCGCCGCATTGCGCTCTCTGCGAAACTTGCAACTGTGTCCCCACTTTATCTCGTAACACACACACTAAAATCACACTCAATTAATCGAATTCGATGATGACGACTACATAAGTGTCCGTTTTTATAAATTTCGTCTGTCGGTTCTTTTGTAAGTTTGCCACGATTAGGCTCCGAAAACGGCACAACTGACCCCAATGAAAATTATTTTGTTCAACAAAAAAGTTTGACTATTATTTAATAAATTTGAATAAATTCGACGTAAAGAGTAAGGGCGACAGTTATTCGTTTATCGCAAAACCATTAATCGTCTTTAACTTGACAATGAAATGAAAAACTTGCATTTAGCATGCAAATTATACTGGGCTGCCGTCATCGGTCATAGAGGACACCTGCTGTAGGCATAGTCTGCGAATGCAATATGGATTTTCAAATCGCACCACTGTGCCGGCGCAAGTAAATTTTATTCCCGGCAGTTTTTCATGGAAATGAAGTGGAAAACACTGGGCGCACATGTTTTATTTATACGTCGCTTTACCAATCAGTGTCAATATCAAGGCTGGAATAACATGTTTAGAGGACGTGTCTGACTTAATTTCAATGTTTAGTGCCTGTTACTATGCAATTTATGTGTACAAGTGATGATGTGTCGACATTTCTCCTTTACAATTTATGATCTCAACCACTGTTTTGGCAAGTTTCTGTTTTGTACGTTTCGAGTGATATAATTACAAAATAATTCTATAACTCAATTAATTAATATTAAAATTAATTAATAAAATTAATAATAATTTAAGTATAAAAGAATGTAAATGCATCTGCTATATATATATATTTTTTTTATATATATCTATATGTATTTCGTCATCGTTAAGACAGGACAACGTCTGTCGGGTGAACTAGTTTATTATAAAAGTAATATATAGTATAATTATATTCCATTACTGTACTAATACATGTTCAATATCTTCTATTTATAATAAGTACCTGGAGGACCTGGTTTTTTTTTCGCACAAATGAAGGAACCAAAAAAAAGGAAAAATTCATCTGGAATTAAAAAAAATGAAAGTAACTTTTCTGAATTAAATCGTTTTACTTTTGCTCTATTTATAAACTAAATGCTTTTAATAATACCGCGATTGGTACACCTTTTTCTTTCTCACTTTGTGATACGACTTAAAGATTTAGGAGAATCTTTAGTGTTGCTCAATTATCAATGAGTTATCAAATCAATAATTTCTTTTCAAAATACTCTTACGCGCAGGCGGCATCTTGAACATGCTGGCGTTAGTCGGAATGCATTTTAGACTTTAAAATCACAACGAATTAAGAGTATCCAATGTGCCTTCGCACGATATAATAAGACTTTTATATTATTAGAGGACCATCCTTAACAGAAGATGTATCGATATTTAAAATTAAATACTTCGCCTCACAACTGAAGAATTAAATAATTTAGTAAATACAAGTACATGGTATGGATATTTTTCATAGTAATCCGACTGTATATCAAACAGCTAGCTAACAATATTTTAAAATTTCGCACAACAAAAATATTGTATATTTATTGATTGTTATATAAACTTGCTCCCCATTAGTAGCAACTTATGGTTTCATATGAATGGCATTATTAATGAAATCAGTATTTAAATGTTACATATATACATATATGGTGCGTTTTACATATTATGAATACTCTATTTACCTACTATATTTTCCTTGCAGGAAATATAAGACTGAAACTTTGTACACACTTTACCAGGTTAAAGTCGCAATGTATACGCAAAAGTCCTTTATATCTTCGTAGAAACAAAATATTCGTTCTTCTATTGAATTTTTTATACTCATAGCGTGACGCCTAAATTACTTTGTCTCAGAAGTTTGACATGACACAAATGCCGTAAAGCTTCGTAACTAGAAATTGGGTTACGTAATCATTAACAATACAAAATACAAGGCAAAATGAATGAATGTAAGTTGCATTTTTGAACTACATAATTTATATAGAGTTACTTTTGAACCATATGTTTTATCC